GTGCATGTGGTGATGTTCTTTCACCTTTAGTGGTTTATGCCGCAAAGGCTGTAAACTCACTTTGGTGCGCTGGTGGTGTTCGTGGTACAACTTATAAATGTTCTGAATCAGGTTGGATAACAGAAAAAATTTTTACGGATTGGTTTAAAAACTGCTTTTTGGAACAAACAAAACACATCGAACGACCACTACTACTTGTTATGGACAACCATTCAGCTCATATTAGTATTGATGTAATCGAGTTAGCTATAAAAAATCAAGTAATCTTGTTATGTTTACCCCCACACTCCACCCATGCTCTTCAACCGTTAGATGTAGTAACATTAAGGTATGTTCGAGTTTGTAAACAGTTAATCAGTTTCGAATGAACCTTCTATTTCAATAGTTCAGCAAAAAGCGTTTGGAAGAAAATCGTGTCAAAGTATTTTTCGAGAACCAATCGAAAAACCATAAGAAAAATCGACCTACCGGGTCTCTTTAAACGTTTAATGGATGAAGCATTTACAAAAAGATAATGTGTATCTGGCTTTGCTAGATGTGGCTTGTGGCCGTTCGATGATGAAGTAATGAAGGAGAAAGTAGCAAAAAAATGTGATCGTTCTACACTTTCGACTTCTATATCAACAAAGTATCGTTTGACGTACGTAATATCTAATTTATTTCATTTGTCATATTTTAGTTCCGATGAAACATTATCAAATAGTTTTTCATCAACAACAATTGTTCAGCACTCCATTGATGCACCAGTCAATAACAATATTTTACAAAACAGAAATTCTATCAAGTAAATAAAATGTCCTCTATTTTTAAATGACTTATGCTCCTTTTCTAATGCTTAGCTCAATTGTTAAAACAGATGCTGAACAAGGGTCAATTTCGAACATTGAAATTATTCAAAATTCAACAATAACTACAGCTCAACCAGAAATAAACTTCGTGTCCACGTAAGTTTTATTTTCTGTTCACTATTAGCATTGGATAGTTTAATTGAATTTGTGGGATATTGCATTAGATCGTATTTTCTAATGATGTTAGACAAGTTTAACATTAAACTTGATATCCTAATTTTCTATTTGCAGTTGTTCCAGAAAGACCATAAATAATAATCTCACTTAGTTATTTTGCTAAAATATTTTTATATAATAGTTGATTCATTTCCTAAAGATCTGTTATTTTTGAGGAATTGCGTGCCATTGCAGTATTTTTAGGTTCACATCTCATGCAACAGAAACTATGGCATTCCATTCTTTAGGTAAACTGTTGGCACCATGCTTTGGACATTCATCTAGTTTTAGGTCTTTAGATAATCCATTTTCTATGGTTAGTTATCCATCAACAACTACTGAATTGGACAATGAGGAGGAAAATCAGTAAATAATGGAAGCCATGCAGAATAGGAAGTGATTATTTTTCATGTTTTAGTGCTTGGGCAGATACTGATGGTGTATGGTCGACTCGTATTACTGCTCAAATAGCTATACCAGTCAATGATATTACAGAGTAAGTTTTACATATGCACCACAGTAAAAATGACTTCCATATAGATTTAGTGAGCGTTCGTCTGGTATAAAAGCAATTGGTGCAACTTCAACTGATTCACTGAATAAATTCACAAAATGTAGTAATGGTTCCAAATCACTCGAAACATTTCCGTTTTCTATCTTTGTATTAGATCATAAGGCTAGTTTCGTTCTAGATTCAAATCATGAAATATATCCAGTATATGATGAAGAAGAAAAGACTTTTCATGAACTTACATCGGCTCCAATTCAAGTACCACCATTTAGTCCAACAGCTGCAGTTCGTTCAATAGTAACTAGTTGTTTACAAGAAATGCAGCCGACTCCACCAGTAAATAGCAAACGAGTTCGACTAGAACGTCGATATGGTGAAGAAATTACCACCGGTGGTCTTCTTCAAGAATTGAAAGACAAAAAGGCAGCTAAAGATGCTCAGGTCAAACGACCACGACAAAAAAGAAAAAAAAATGAAGTAAGATCATGACTGTTTCTTAAAATCAACAAATCTCTCATTCGAAAATTTTTAGAATTCAACTACTATGAACAACGTCAATTCCTCATTATAATTTCTATAATGACGAAGTTCATCTATGTTATTAATTCTTCTATAGACATCTTCAAGTAAACCTTCATATTTATTGACAACAATCAGTGCTTATTTGAATTTTTTTATAAGCTGATTTTGATACATTATATTATTTACTTATTTCTACTGTTTTAACCATTGTTTTTGTATAATACTCTATTTTTTTGTGAAACTTTCTATTATAAAAATCACCACATCTACCCTTCATATTAAAATGAAAAGATTTATAGTCATATGTAAAAGTGAAGCGATTTCTTTTCTTCAAATTTATTGTGTTTTAAGCCAATTATCTTTTGAACTCTATTCAATAGTTGATCTTGTTTTAAAATTGAATAAAAAACAAAATAAAACTTTGTCAGATACAGTTAAACCGCTGATATGTTGTAGAGAAAATTCAGCTGAACAACTTTTGTTCCAGGATAATAGGCTGATTTTGAGATTCGGCAGCATATCTAGGCGAAATTACGTAAAATTAGATAACTTCTATGTATTTATGCTGGATCGTTCTAATTTGGAGCAACTTTTACATTGGCGTTCTAATTAGGGACATTGCACTTATTTAGAACGTTTTTGAATGTAATCAACGAACCTAGATAACAGTATATATAAACAAGAGAGAAAAACATCACACTGAACCTTTGTAGAATGATAGACAAAAGTATAAGGAATAACGTTTCTAGCGAACACTTGATTTGATTTGATTTTGAAGTTGTAAGCAGATATTACACGATTTTTTAGCCATACCCATTTTTCTATGTATTTGTACTGGGCCGTTCTAATTTGGGGCAACTTTTACATTGGCGTTCTTATTGGGAACATTGCACTTAAATAGAACGGCACTAGTCATCTTCATTCTACCGCTTATGACTTGGTCATTTTTCAATATTTTTAGAAAATTCTTTCATAATTAGATCGAAAAAACATTTTTCTATTTGGTTGTAAAATTTGAGTTCATTTGCTTATTGTTTCATAGAGATATTAAAGATGAAACATGATCATATAAGAATCCCGTTCTAATTAGGAGCATGCACTCTGCTCATCCATCAATAGTCGTGATCGATCCATCTATATCAATGAAAAATGAAACTGAGATAGATGGATATTTTTCATTGTAGAATAATGACATTAAAAATATATATGTTATTTGTGAACAAAATAGCAGAATTAGAGATAATCATTAATTTAGATGAATAAAAGAAAATCATATGAAATATTGATTGCTATAGATGAACGAGAAGAAGGAGAAAACGGTCTTTTATTCGAAACTATGTAAAGAATATTTTCATGAACTTATAAAATTGTCTTCATATGATATCTGTTATTGCAGAATAAATCAAATTCAACATAAGTTTAATGCATAAAAGTTAGTGGAAACAAAATCTATAGTTTAGAGAAAAAAATTAAAATTAGAGTTTGTCGCTTTAGACGCACGGATGTAAATATACAATGAGAGATTGACGTTGAGAAAAGATTTTATGGTATCATATTTAATTACATGAGCGTCTTCGTTAAACATGCATCAGTAAAATAATGGCTGAACTAACTGATATATATCTAATTGTTTCAGTCAATAAAATTCTCAAAACAAATTTGGTCAAGGAAATGCGTTCAGTTATTTATTCATATGCAAGAAACATCGTAGTCGACGACACTTTAAAGTTTAACATTGCTTTTATTTCATTTTGTAGAATCACATATAAATCTTGATGATCAAGCATAGTTCAGATTCAATAGACGGAGCTCATAAAAACGAACTATTGCAAAAGAATACATAAAAAGAGCAGAGACATGATATTAGTTATAGCAGAGATCATAACGTTATTACTTCTTCTTCTTCGATGGTCATAGATGGAAAGTGAATCTTATCATTGATATTTCATCTCAAGATCTGTACACTCGGCACAGGAAAGCTTTTTGAAAAATTGAGTATATTTGCGCAGAGTAAATGCGGTAAATAAAAACGAAGAATAATCTACATGATTGTCTTTCATCAGAATTTTTGCTTGTTTACCTTAGAAAAACACATCGATGAGAATTTTTAACCAATACATGACTTTCGTTAGCAATGAAAATCTTGTATTTATACAATTTCATTAAATTTAACATTCTTATTATGCTAGACTTTCTATGTCATCAAATACTGCAATTCTTTTTGTTACGATGTTAAATCAATTCAAATTATTTGTAGATTGTTTAGCCTTGTAATTTATTCATGAACATAAATACAGATATCTCCAATTATACGTTGAAGATTCTCTATTTTCAAGATATACATATACATATATACTTAACAAACTAGACCATAAAATGTGTAAAATAAATTAGTAATCAGAAATGAAAAAGTTTTCGCTTTTGTATCTCTGTTCATTTATTCTATCTTAATTTTTGTGTTCATAGTAAAACTTCTAAACAAAAATGAACAACACATTATCCATTTTTCAGTAGTTGTCTTATTTCATTTATTTATTAATATATGAAAAATTGAGAATCATCTTGGACATGACATACTAGATTACAAAATACAATGATCGAAGACAAGCTATTCAATATTACATTACTAATTATCGTATATAATAATTTTGGGACGAAGCCAATGAAGTAATTGATAAAAGATACATATTGTGTATTTACGATTGACATTCCTATAAGACTCGAAAAAATTTATGAAATGAATCGAGATAATGAACATCAACAGTAGATTGTTTGTTGAGAAAAGTTGAACAACGAAAATAGAAAAAAAAATAGCTTTTTCTTTTACTTTTTATTAACAATACAATTAATGTAAAAGACAATTTTTAATTAGTTGACACACTCACATATCAGTTTTCTCCTTTGAAAACCTCTGAAGTTCTTTTGAGATAATCAGATAGATATCTCTCAGAAAGACACGAATAATCAAGGTTTGGTTTTCACTTTCATTTGTCAAACAATTTATCTTATGAGCGAATTCAGCTCTTTCTTTTCAATCCATATGCATATTTTGATACTCAATATATTACGTGTAGATCACAAGCGATATTTAAAACTTAATAGAAAAGAATTTTGCACATAATTTCAATTATATTTTAACCTGTGGATGTAAATGGAACAAGTAAAGCATAATTATTACTTCTAAACATAATAAATTTTGTTTTTACATGCATGAAGATGCAGAGTGAAAGCATAGATGTTCGCTTCATTCCTATACTAGCACTTATTCTCGAATACTACCGAATATTTTAGTTTTTTCTTCATTTTGTAGGAGAAAAAAATGAAATACGAAAGAGGAAACGATAATCTACAATCAAGAAATAAAATTCCACTTGAATTTACTCGCGTGACAGAAGGAACTTTAAATTGGTAATTATACACTTGTTGATTTCGAATAGATCTATTCATCATGCTTTTCAATTCATAAAAAAATCAACTGCAACACTAATATATTTGAGTTTCAAAGTAGTGTTAGATATTCGTTCAACTGTATAGATTTTTGATATAAACTATTCATTTGTTCTATAATTTTTTAAGCATGCAGTTTCGGTAACCTTTTGCGCTTATTTGAATTAAAACTATATTGAAACTTATCGAGACAGATCAGGTGTAGACGTGACTGAAAAAATGTTCCACACTCACATTTTACTAATCAAAATAGATTGAATGGTTGATATTCGAGAAAAAAAAATTCGAATTGAATTTCTAGTGAATTTATTTCTTTAAATAGATGATTTTTCGAATAGAACTTTCTCGTTTATAGTTCTTGTAAGATTTCGGTTAGTAGTGTATCGAAATTCTTGGATTCATTGTTGAGTGATTCGGTGAAATGTTTGCGAGCTTTTTGTGCAACAGCATCCCATAATAATTCAAAAGTTTTAAACTTCTTTTCAAGTACAGCAATGACAATGATCGACATAAGAATTTTACAATTAACTTGAGAATGTTTCAGTTGAAATTTTGATAAAGGTTTTTGAATCAAACGTTCAATACTTTCAATGTCCAAATTCCAGAGACTATTGAAGGTTTGATTCTTGATTATGTGACGAACAATATCTTGGCCATTTTTGGGTCACTTCTCATCTGTATAGTACTTTCTTTTTTTGTATGTTGGTTATTGTCAAATACTTATCACCAACAGGATTTCGAGAAGTAGTTTCATCGTCATTCGTTGTTGTTCCAGAATACGATAAATTTTTATATATTTTGATGAACAGAATACAGTATTTGAAGGCGATGGCATATACTGCGGTGAAGTAGGACAATAACTTGGTGACATCCCAGTATGCATTGATAGGTCAATCGACTGTAAATATTGATCATCCGTGAATATTTGAATCGGAACTTCACGTAAAATCATGTCACTGTTGTCTTGATTTATTCGATTCTCAATACCCACAAAAACAGTACAAGAACTTAATACATGGTATTTGAGAGATAATGTAATAATTTGCTGTTTCTTCTTTTTCTGACAATGACATAGCTTGAAACCGCATTTGTCTCCTGGGTCCTTTTGATGAGACTTTCATAAGTGCTTTTGCAGCAAGTCATGCAATTGTTTCGTTGTCACTCATCATCGGCACTCGATTGACTTTAGCTGTAGCTAATCAATGGTTATCTGGATGAATTTCGATTTGAACAGAGGAATCATGATTGAATGGAATATTTTTATCATTAATGAGAGCATATGCAACAACTCTATCATTGAAATAGATCGGAGGTAACTGTCTCTAAGTATTCTGCATTTCAACTTCAAGATGCTATTTAATATGTACATTAGTAATGCATGGTTGAAGAGCTCTGTGTAATTGTTTATATACTCGATCATCAACATTTGTATTTGGTAGAATAAAAGTAAATTGACCATTAGTCGATCGAGCAAGACTTTCAATCAAAGAACGATTAGGCGATTGACTCAAACTAAATGA